CCTTTTATGCCTTTTCTCGCATTCCAGGCAATGTCTCCAGTCCATGTTACATTTTTGACATTATGAAAGCATAATCATATAGAGTGTATAGTTTATCACGATTCTTCAAGCAAAATCTAAGGATTTCGTAGAGTGTTGAAAAAGCTACAGGCATTTTACGCCGTTCAGCCAAACACGTGATCTGGTTTAAAGGTCCAGTTCCGGTTTCAATCTTGAGCTCAAAACCTCATTTAGGGCCTGATCGGGAACCGTGAATCTTTTTGCGTGAATTTTGGCTGAATCTCGTTTCCGTCTATCTTTCCCACGGATTTGGTCCCTAAACCCTCCTAGAATGAAAAGCACATGCATTTCCTCTAACTGGCTCGAGTTGGGAGGCACGTGCTGGGTAGCGAGAACGCAGCCGCGTCGCTGGCGTGGCCAGCGACGGGCTCTGGACTGTATTCGACCTGAGACCGCTGTAGAGAATACATCTGAATATGTGTTGTAAACTAAATATCTATCGTGTACTAGGGAGAGGATGGTGGGTAGCAATTTATTCACTAGCGAGCAGTAAAAGTTAGAGAAGAGAAGAAGAGAAGAAAGAGATACGAGACGAACCTGGCGAGCAGTGAATGGTAAGAGGAGAAGAAGAGCTGAGGCTCTCCTGTCTCTTCTCAGCCATTTTACTCGCCGGGTGTCTGAGCTGATCGGCGGATCATTTCCACTCGCGCGGGGCGGTACGCTGCATATGCCGTGGAGCGCACAGCAGGAAATACGGCGGCCTCTCCGCTCATCGCCCAAGGCGTAAGACCCCGGCGCGGAGAGGGCGCGATACGTACTCGCGACGTCCAACTGTGCCTCGCCCGTTAGACTTGAGTAAACAATGTTTAAACTCGAGAAATCTCGAGGAGCTTGAGTGGAAGCGGTGTGACGGTTTCAAAATAAGCTGAGTTGAACTTGATTTTTTTGCATCATCTGTGAAATCTATGGGAGATTCTGTGTTACACTATGTCTCCCACTCTCCAACCTCAGATGTTCATTAAAAGGGCCTATTCGACCATCTGGGGTAGTCTAGGGACGAGTTTCGTACTCATAAAAAATTCCACCAAAATTCATGCGTGAATTCACGGTTGCCGATCAGGCCCTTAACCACAATTTGGGGTGACCAAAACAAAAGTTTTCATTGCCAAAGTCTCCTATTTTTTATTGTTAAGCACCCACAGCCTTCCTACCGAGGCTATCTCGCCAGTGAACAAGGATCCTGTTCAATATACACTGTATTTCATCATGAACTCACAAATTTATTTAGGGGGCATGTAGCCACGAGCTCAAAGAACATTTTCTTCCAGCAAATTGAGTCTAACAAGGGCATGTGGAGACTGTAAAACAGCAGAACCTGTAGAATTGCTCGTTAAGGGAGGATAAACAAGTGTCAACATGCCGAATCGATCAACGGCGGTGCCCGTCCCCAAGGATAGAATCCGGCGTACACTTTACCCTAGACCCTCTCGATGCTGAGAACGGAGTCAACCAGAAGCTCGACAGGAGGAACGAAAGGCTACAGGACCCCTGAGAATGCCGCGAGGAGGTAGGATTCAACAGTCCGGACAAAAATTTTGAAAATTGACACGAGCTGTGATGCTAGTCCGGACAAAATTGGTCCGGATTGTCCCGACCTTGGATTCTTAGTCCGGACAGGAAATTTTGGGCACAGGTAGGTTGATTACAGAGTCCGGACAAATTTTTGGTCATTGTTCGACTTGGTATGTATATATTACATGTCTTGCAATCAAAACCATACGCGATCACAAGCCAAGGTGAGTGGCCCAGCAACCTATTGTCTGTCTTGATTGGGTAGCACGAGGATTTGGGCCACCTTGCAGTGGCACAGAATTTTATTCATTTTCCAAATTACATTTTCCACAACAAGTTCTACTGTTGTCTACTACTTGCTTCCTCCCTCCCCAAATTGGTCGCGAGCTTGAATACTGTTCAAAAGAGGGGGAAGGGTTATATGAATTTTCTGGACATTGAGGAAGACGATGGGGTTGATGAGTAGCGTTGTAGACGATCTCTAGGAATTTTACCGTTTTTTTTTGGGAATTTAGAATTTTTCGGGGATTTTTTGACCTTTGAGGTGTAGTCCGGACAAAAAATCCGAAATTTTCAAGGGTGTGAGGTATGGTCCGGACAAAATTTTTGACCTCGTTCACCTGTATAGTCCGGACAACAATCTCAAAATCCGGAATTTAGAATCCTACCTCCTTGCGGCATTCTCAGGGGTCCTAAGGCTACTGTGTAGTATTACCGTTACTCTGGCGAGCCTGAGTCACAGTTTACCGGGGCACCATCGAGCCGAGGCCTGGGGGAGGAGGTAGAAGAAGGCAGGAAGACGGGAGGCGGGGAGGGAAGAGTAACAAACAAGGAGAAAAGAAAAGGTGCGACACGGCCACGGTAAGAAAGATACGCCACCCATAGACGCAGTTGAAGAGAGCGGTGAAAAGAGGGTGGCAGCAGCGGACAAAGCGGCCCTAGATCTGATGCGGAGACCCGGCAAGTTCCGAATTCCCGTCTTCCATCACGCTCATATGGCAGTCGCGCGTATACAAGCACCACAACTCCAAGCGGAGTCGGCGACTGTTGCAAGCGACTGTTGCACTAATCGGCTCTCCTCCGTTCATGGGAACTGTGGCGGCAAAATTGGATCGCAAGCTGAGGACTGTGAATTTCTCCTGGCTTCGCAGCATGAAGACGGTACGGTGCGTTGGTCGAGTTTCCTATGTACTAGTCTTTCGTACCTGCTCTTTCATTCTACTTCCCTCCGAATTCAGAGTCACGCCATCTCTACGCAGAAAATCGGATAAATCCCGGACATGCTCGATTATTCACTTTCACACATCCAAATTGGAAGAGGGCTCGGCGTGTTCCGTACACCACACCCGACGAATTAGGCTATTGATTCCTGGGTGAGACGCCCGTCAAGAAAATTGAAGAGATAGACACAGGCGGTTCTTAGTATTTGTCATAATTGAAGATGCGGATCGGACGCGGGAGTAGAGAATAGGTGTGCCCTAAATCAACGACTTCAGGAAGGTTGAGCCCGAGGGTCCATACATTTACATCGATTCGGAGCTGAGAATATTAGTGGAACGAGCCAGGAGAGCCCAAAGTCCAGTTAAAGTTGAAGTAATAGGCACATCAATGCACCTTTGGGTTTAATTTTTCTCATGGGTGGAGCAGAGATATGTAGGTCAGCGCACGTTTGGCATTGGAGTGTATGTATACGGGAGACTGGTTCCAGGTTTAAGTTATAAATCTCGGAGCTTGCCGGGTCTCCCGATCAGATCTGGACTCGGGCCGCTCCTATCATCCTACCGTCCCCCTTCAGCCAAGTGCTTTTCTACTGGAATAATATCGACTATCATATTATTCTGTGGAGTCTGACTACGGGAGACTAGTGCTTTTCTACCTCCGTGCATCGTGTACAACGCATCTTCCTCTATCCCTCTTCAACTCCCTTCCCCTCCCAGTTAAACTCAGCCGTCCTACACAGAAAATCTTGGGCCACGAGCACGCGTGTCAACGCCGGAGGGACGTAGATACACACCTGGAATCCGTGCGCAGTTCACTCCAACGGATTCAGACGAAAGTGTCATCCTCACGATCAGCGTCGCGCAGCTCGCCGCCGAAGAGCGCCACGCATCTACAGCGACACTCTCCTCGCGCATCTCTCACTGGCGTACGATCCGCTCCCTGGCCACTGTACCCCCGTCGAAAGCACACCACAGATGTAGATACAAGCTCCGCAGACCCGTGACGTTAAGTGGCGTAGCATGACGCAGGAACGCGCCCGCCCCCATCCACGAACGCCCGCCGGCACCCGCGCATACACCCGAATCCACCGACGCCGACGCCCACTTGCATCCTTGACTTCTACTCCTGCGCCCGTTCGCGGCCCCACCTGTTACCAGTAACCTCTGCCTCAAGTTTGCCCAGGCGCGTAGGGAGCCGGGGAGTACGGACAGAAGGGCGCGCACAAATGAAGGAAGGGGGCAGAAAAGGAGGGAAGAGGAAAGAGCACACGAGTAGGAGAAGAAGTGGAAACCTCCCGCGCTCCGCGTTCGTGCTCTCATCGCATACACAAGTAGCCGCGCATGCGAGGTGTGTTTCTGTTTTTCATATCTCTTCGGTTTCCTTTGCGTTCTTCCCCCCTGCTCGTGCTCCCCGCTCTCTATACCCCTCGTGTGGCCTTACTCTCCTCCTCCGTCGTCTTCCCGTGCTCGTCCCCCTCCTCCCCACATCCACCGCGTTTTGACGCTTTCCTCGTTTTCTGCATCCTTTCTCCCCCATATTCTCATCCTTCCTTCCTCTCCTCCGCACTCTCCTCGTTCTCGTTCTGTACGCCCTTAGTTTCTCCTCTTTTCTCTCCTCTTCTCCGCTCCCCTCCTCCGTCCTACCTCTGCGAAACTGACCTGCCCTTCCTTTTAGCAGCCCGCCCGATTCAACGCGGGCTGATTTCTCTGGCAACGCTGGCGTGTGCCTCGTTGACCTCCGTGTTGAAAAATGAGTTGGCCCTTGACTCCTCATCAGTGATCAGACCTCCCTGTAAATTTTTGGCCGACAGGATGTGTCATTCAACTTGTGACGTTCCACACCGAAAACACAGTTTTGTGTTTCACAGGACACCACTGTTGATAATGTGTTGTTTTTGACTGCCACAGTTTTGACCAGTGCATATTTCCTACACTCGACCGAAGTAGTGTCATTTTCAATGATTTTTTCGCAGGTGTGCAGTTTCATAATTATTATACAGTATATGTGCCATATGTAAACCTCAACCTTTGAACAAATTCTCTGAATCAGAGAAAAAAAAAGTGGGCCCCTCCCTCTGTGTTCCGAAGTTTCGAGGCGGCAAGTTGAACCTATTCTTCAATTTTGAATAAATCGCGTCACCGGGATTTCTGGGATCCGGTGAGTGCGCACATGAACTAGTAAAAAAAGAATGTCATTGCTTTGACTGATTCCGGCGCGGGGAGTCGAACCCCGTTCTGCGAGCTTGTAAGTTTTCTTTACTCGGCATTACGAAAGCTCGCCGTGTCCCATACACCACGCCCGATTTTCTGGGCCTGTGCAAGGATTGGTTTTAATAATCCGAAACAAATCAGAGGTGCTTCCGAAGAAAAAGAAAAATCACGAACAATTTTGATTTAGGCTCGGGGAATCTAACCCCGCTCAGCGATTCGATGTATATAGTCCGCATGGGACGGAAGCCGTGTTCCATACACCAAGCCCGATTTATTAGTCTGTTGAGCTGCTGGTTAAACTTGAGCCCCGGACCAAGTGTACATGGATTGGCGATGAATGTTGACTCCCGGGGGCTAAAAATCTTTCGTCCGCCGCCCAGCCGATTTCGTCACTCCAAAGTAAGACAACCTGGGGTAGATATACGGCAAGACAAGAGCGGAGGAACGAAATCTTGAGTTCTGGTTCAGCTACGCAGATCTTCAGATTACTTCAGGTGGCTTTAGTTCGCGAATGAGGTCTCGGTCCCATTCCCATTTCTTCTCGTTCCCTTTAATTGTTCGGGTTGAAACTAGGCTTGAGATAAGCCTGAGGCGTGGCGAGGACAATAAAATGAGAGAACACTGGGAAGGGCACACCATGTCTTGCGATCCACGAGCCAGGAGCATGATGTCTTTGGCGAACGAAAGCTCGCTGCATTCCGTACACCACCGTTCGTATTGAGTGTTTGTTTGGTTATACCTGGATATGTACAGTTTCGCAGAAAAAGAAAAAGAAATTCGGATCCCATAGTTGGCTCGGACAAAAAAAGTACTGATGTCGACCGTAGAGTTCGGACGCGGGGAGTCGAACCCCGGGCGTGCGGCGAGATACATACATATTTCTGTCATTTTTTAAGTCTCGTAGTGTGCCGTACACCAGGCCCGATGAGTTGGCCTGTGCAAAGATTGGTTAAATGTCAGCGAAATCGTCAGAACGGTGCGTGCTAAAAATATTCTCAGCAGGACGAAGCCTTGTTATTATGGCGCGGGGAGTCGAACGGTGACCGCGAGCCCCGTGTTTCGAGCAATTTTCAAGTCGACAAGCTTCAATGCGAAGTTTCCGTGCACCAAATCCGATTGTTTGTCCTGTTCACTGCGGGGTTAAACATAAGTGGCCAGTTGGATGGGGTACATTTAATTTTAAAGAACTCGCGGTCGTATGGCATCAGGCCCGATTTCTTGTCCAGTCGTCCTCTGGACAGTCAAAGTGAGCGCGACAATACATTTGTATGTCAACGCGTTTCGAATTGGATGAGAAAGTGTTGCGGAGACTGGTTCATGGGAGCGACGAAGGGAGGGAGCGACAACCAGCTCGGAACTTGCCGGGTCTCCACATCAGATCGGAGTCGGGCCGCCCTTTTCCGCTTCTGCCAGCAGCCCAACAGCAGCCTCTCTTTTCACCGTCCCTTCTTCGCTGCAAGTCCTCCTTAGTGGCGCGATTCTAGGCAGCTTTCGCGTGCATCCCGCTCTGCTCATTTACCCTCTCCATGATGTTTTCGCTTCCCAATCATGAACCCCCCGCCGGGCGAGTTTCCTCGACACCGAGCCCCGTGGATGTGCCAGACGCGCCCGAGACACTGAATGGGGAGTAAACTTAAAGCTAGTGACGGGTGAGGTGTATTTCGGCTTCCCTTCGGTTCTTCCCCGCCTCCCTCCTGCTCGTACATCACTCGCTCTCCTTCGTTCCTCCCTTGTTTCTTTGACTTCCCTCCTCCCTCCCTCCGCATATCATACTCTCTCTCTCACATTCCCCTTTCCTCTACCCTCCCCTCCTCCACCCACCCTTCGCTCTCCAAAGCTGAAACGAACACACTCTCCGTTTCAGCCGCCCGTCGGATTCGGAATTGAAGCGATCGATTTCGAGTGGGAGACGACGCGGAGTTCCCCCGCGCCCCGCGTCCGCGTCCGTGCCCTAGCTGCACGCACGCACAAGCCGCCGCACGCCACGCTGGAGAGACAGACACAGACCGTCTGTACATCCGCACCCGCCGGACACGACGACCACCCGGAGGACGCGCAGCGCCTGCAGTCCATGTCCTTGCCTGCCGCCCTTGCCCGCCGCCCTTGCCCATCCATCCGCATCTGCGATCCACACCTAGCACCCCCGCATCACCGTCACACGCGTCCCGCGTCTCCTGCATGCGGCTCGTGTGGCCTCAATACAGATCCCCAGATCAAGGCAACCCGACACGATCCGACGCGATGCAAGGCATCGCCATCTGCATCGATCGCGATCGATATATCGCGACGTGGGTGCGCGGATGAGCCTTGCCTCCGCCCTTGATATAGACCCGCGCATCCACAGAGGCCGACACGGACCCCGACGAGTGACCTGGGACGCGCACACGCCCCGCGCCGCCCGCGACACAAAAGTAGCTTAGATGCGCGCCTCCGCCGCCCGCCGCGTCCAGTGCCCGCCCTCCCAGCATCCCGCGTCCTCGTACCAAGACCCTCGACGTCCGCCCTTTGCGCTTGCGCCCGCGCCCGCTCTCACCTTTGCCTGGCGTCACTCGGCGCCCGCCCGTTCCACGCCGCACTCCTCACGCTCCACGCTCCGCACCCCGCACCCCGCCCCACGTGCAGTTCCCGACCGAACTTCTCGCGCAACTTCTCGCGCAACTCCTCGCCCTCGCCCTCGCCCTCCGCCGGAGAAATCATTAGCCTGTTCCGACTCCGGATCCGAATCCAGGCGGGCGTCGGAAGGCTGGAAGGGGAGAGGAAGGGGTGAGTTAAGAGGGAGAAGGCGGGCAGAGCGGAGGGAAGAGGGGGGAAGCGGAGAAGAGGGAATGACGGAGGGCGAGGGAGGGGAGGGAATGACGGAGGGCGGGGGAGGGAGGGAGGAGAGGGAAGGGAGGGGAAGGGAAGGGAGAGTGTGTCGGGAGAGGAGAGAGGGAGGGAGGAGGGGAGGGGGATCGGAGAAGGTGAATAGGAGAGGAGAGGGGGGGACGGAGAAGGGGAGGGAGGGGAGGGGAAAGACGGGGGCGGGGGCGGGCGGGGAGAAAGAGAAGGAAGCGAGATGAAGGCGATGGAGGATGAAGGAATAAGGTGGGGTGGGGGTGGGGGTAGGGGCGGGGGCGATCTGTCGTACACCGCGCAGACTGAGATCGCGCCCAGGCTCCGGGCGCCAGGTCGGTGGGTGCGAGCGCGCGCGTATGCTTGTTTCAAGCGGGGATGCACCGCTCACGGCCCTCCTCGCGCCACCGCGTCCGACTTCCGAGACACTTCCCCGTCTTCCCGCCTCCCGCCGCGTGTACACCGCCCGCACCCCACGCCCCTCACCCGGACCCTTGACCCCTTTCCCCCGCGCCCGCCCTTACCCTTGACCTCACCTTCCCCCGCCGCAGCCGCCGGTCCGAGCGACATCAATCAGCCTGTATCGGATCCGACTCCGAATCTGATTGGGCGGGGGGCGAGAGACTGGAAGGGGAGGGGAGGGGAGTGCGTTGGCTTTCGAATCGGAGAGAGGAGGGCGGGGGGGGGGGGTGGAAATGGAAGGAGCAGGAGAAGATGAGAAGATGAGTTGGGAGGGGAGGGCGGGGGAGGGAAAGACGAAAGACCGCGGCGGCTTCTCCGGCGACGAGGAGATGAAGTGAAGGCGGGCCTTCAATGGGGGGCGGGTGTGCGTGTGCGTGTGCGTGTGTGCATGTGCGTGTGTGCATGTGCGTGTACGGGTGTGCATGTGCTTGAGTGTGGGGGCGGGGGCGGGGGCGGGCGATCTGTCGCGACGCAAGACCCGCGCAGACAGAGATCGTGCGCGGACTCGGGATCCGGGCTTTGGGGCGACGGCGCCTGGATCTACATGTACCGAAGCGCGTTCGCGTTTTCGGCGCCGCAGGGGGGTGCATACCAACTCGCGCTTACATGACGCTTGATTCGATTTCAGGCGGGGGGCGCGATGTACCTCGCGCACCGCGCCGCCCCGTCCCCACCTTCAGGCAGGCACTCGCGCAGGCGCAGCTCCCACCTCCAATAATCCGACGCGCCCGCGCAACCTCCGTGCCCCACCGTGCCCCACCTCAAAATCCGCGGCGGCGTCGCTGGCTTCGTTGTTTTGAAGTGAAATGCGTGGCGGCGTCAGCGTCACGTCGGTACGTCCGGCCGTAACAATCCCCGTCTCTCCACCTTTGAATAACGACAGATATCTCGATACAATGCTATCGATTTGAGCGTACGTTAGTCGTCTTCCGGACGAGCTTTTGCCAATTGTATACCCAGGAGGACGTGCTGGGGCGAAAGCTGGTCCAAGGAGAAGTCTTCCGCGATGCCGAGTAACCTGATGAGTCTCTCTGTCATGGTTGGCCAGCTGTCGCGATAGTCGCTGTGACGTTCGGTGGGTATATGTAGTTATCACCCGGCGTGTCGTCCCGACTGATCAAGCCCCAAAGTGGCAACAGATTCGCCCTCCTCGGCTTCCTCTGAATCCTCTCTCAGTCTAATCGTAGTTCCCTCGCAACAATCATAATGCTCTGCAGGACCTTCTTTGGCGGGCAAGTGGCATCCCATTACGCGCGCACTTCCCGCTCACATGTATCTCTAGTATCGGGGGCTGTATTTTCAGTGGGGCCAATCGGAAAGCGTGCAGTTTGCATGTGTTTGTTCTCAATTAAACCCAAAAAGCACCGGTTTTTGGATCTTTTCCCCTGCTGTGACCTATAGAGCACATATCCCATCCAACTCAAAACCAAAGGTATGCTTATAGGACACCATAGAGTCTCTGTAAATATTTTGAGCTTTTTTTACCTCTTGATCGTCGCACTGTGCATCGTTGAAATAGAGCCAAAATCACGGATTCTAAATGGACCTGTCAGAGTCCAATTTCATCCGAGAAGAAATTTCCAACTTTCAAGAGAGCCTGCTTATATGACCAAGACCTCATATGCAGACTTTTGAAGCAGGTTATCTGCCCAGTTGAAAGCGGTTGTTTTCAAATTTTATCGAGAATCGACGGTCCACGTGACTATTTTGACGACCCGAAGGGAAACGGGGCGGCAATAATGTCAGGAACGCATCCTCCCATGAGCAACTTTAAGAGGCAAAATTTCAAATATTCGAC